GATAGATAATAATAATAATAATAATAATGAAAACAACTATAACTACAACAATAATAGCTCTTTTTGAACTAAAAGAAAAAAAATGGAAAATTTCCGAAAATAATAATTACAATCTTTTTTGAGCTAAAAGAAGGAAATAGAAGATTTTATTCTGTTTCCGAATATCTCAAAGCTTTGGTTATATATTTCCATTTGGCATCGATGGCGCATCTGCGTACGTAACGATGTACAGTCGGAAGTACATAGGTAACGTATATTCTCTTGCCCTCCCGAGTAGCAAAGGATTTCTGTCTCACATGAGACGTATTTGGCCATGACGCGTCGTCAACGTAAAACTCGTGACAGTTGAGCAACAAATACTTGCAACGATTACAAACTTGCTAAATACGTCACACGTGTTAGATAGTAGCGGCAGAAGTTGTAAGTGTCATCTGAGCGTACATAGAAGCGTACAAAGTTATTTTATATGTTAATATTAACGTTAATATGCTCGCGTTTTTCGCATCTTTGTCTGATATAATAATAAAACATTATTATCTATTACGCGCCGTGTAAGCAAAGTAAATATTGCGACTTGCATCTTTCCTGAGAGGAATACGTATCAACGAAGCAGCGCAAGAGCAGCGGTACGAAATACGAGGCATACTCGAGTGTAAGGATAAAAGCCGCGGATTAGAGATAGAAATAAAGCGACAGAGAGAAGGCTTCTTAAATGATACACGCGAGGGTGGAAATTCCTACGAAGCAGCAATTGCGTCTTCAAATAATTCTGAAATAAGTGCGCAACGTGAGAGAAACATTTTAAACACGATTTCCTTTTACGACATTATCGGGATGTAGCGTGATGGGAAGGAGTAAATAAGATTGCACGGATAGATAACAGGATGGTTGCAATATTTATAATATGCTATACCGAGAGGCAGGTCACAGCGGGTACATATCTTATACCCATCTGCCGTAAATGGCTTCTAGAGTCTTTCACAAGCATTTTCGATACCTAGGCACTATCTAATGCACTATCTAATATCGTATTACGTCGCGAGGACTGAATGAAGAATTTCATATCAGGCAGGCTCAGTGCTTCGAATGATTTCTTCTCGAATCTTCGAGATCGATATCGAGATATCTCGGTGACATATCGGCCGTCGTAGATTTCGGTAAATTAGTCTTCTTGGACGTTTAGTCGTCCCTTGAATTGTTCTAAGTTTCATTTAAAGGCTCTCTATCGTCCTGTCGCCAAGTGCCGGGTTCTCGAGAACAAAGTTCACAGTCTTTGGAAGGTCGAGCAAGCACTTCCGAGTCTTTTGTACTCACGACGACGAATGTTATTCGAAATTGACGGCAAAAAACACACAGTACGGAAGCGAAAGGATGGTGCATTTCTTCTTCAATGAGAAAACTATGAAAAAGAGATTCTAAATTGTCAATTGTGAATAAATTGAATTCCTGGAATTTAAATCAGTATTGTGATTTCATAACAATCATTAGTTATAATTCGTTGCATTATTTTTAATTTATAAAATTTGTTTCTTAATACTTTTTTTTAGATTATTGTCGATATTTATATAAATAATTATAACTTATGATTGCGGTATAGCAACACGAGACAAAATAATGTTGAAGAAATGCGGCCTTTCCATTTCTTTTCTAATTTTTAATTAAAGTTTGGCAACATTCCAAGCTAGGATAGATTCCAGGTTACGAGTTATTGCTAAGAAAACCTTTTGATATGATGTATACGTAAAAATTTTATTCGGAAAGAGATTGATTTCCTGAATTCTGTAACTGAAATTTGCTTATCTCAAGACCGTAATAAAGCTAGTCCTTTTCATTTTCCACTCATCTGGAAGACTTTGTTCGTCGAATGGGTTTCATTTATATGGTATCTTTTATCTCCAATATCAAATTCAGTAGATATTTTACGGAGATTCATAAAAGAAAATCTACAACTGCAACAGATTAGTCGAACGAATAAAAATTTCGAGAAAAAGAAGATTCAGATTGTTTTTCGATCTATACTCTTTTTATTTCGGTAATTTTTAAAAAACAACAATTAAAAATAACAATAGAACAA